GACAAGTGGACCGTTCAGATATTTCCTCGTGTTAATTGATGCCTCAACACGTTGGTCACATGTTAGTCTTCTCTCCACCAGGAATGTTGCATTTGCAAAACTTCTTGCGCAAATTACACGTTTAAGGGCTCAATTCCCAGATTATCTGATCAAAAGGATTAGGCTAGATAATGCCGGAGAATTTACATCCCGAACATTTAATGACTATTGTATGTCAATTGGGATAGACGTGGAATAACCAGTAGCCTATGTTCATACACAAAATGGCCTTGCAGAATCATTAATAAAGCGATTACAATTAGTCGCTAGGCCATTACTAATGAAATCAAGACTCCCATCTTCTGCATGGGGACATGCTATAATACATGCCGCTGCTTTGCTATGACTAAGACCAAGCGCGACGCATAAGTTATCTCCAATGCAACTAGTAGTTGGAAAGGAACCTAGCTTGGCACATCTAAAAACATTCGGATGTGCAGTCTATATTCCCATAGCACCGCCCCAACATACTAAAATGGGCCCACAAAGACGATTAGGAATCTATGTTGGCTATGAATCGCCTTCCATCACACGATATCTCGAACCATTGACTGGTGATCTTTTCACAGCTCGGTTCGCAGATTGTCACTTTAATGAGACAATCTTCCCAACCTTAGGGGGAGATAAAGAGGGCCCATGCTGGAAAGAAATATCATGGAATACCCAAAATCTATCATACCTTGATCCAAGGACAAATGCGTGCGAACAACAAGTGCAAAAAAATAATACATTTGCAAAACATCGCAAATCAATTGCCAGACGCATTCACTGATACAAAAGGAGTGACAAAGTCACATATACCTTCACTGAATGCCCCTGCTAGGGTTGAAATCCCAACAAAGAAAATGGATAATCCACTTTCAGATAAAATTGCAGCACGCAAAAGACGTGGCAGACCCCTCAGAGCTAAAGATCTAAAGCCGAGAAAATCTAAAAGAATGGAAATGAGGAATTAAAAGAGTGAAAACTCCTCAAATAAAGTGGATCAAATCCAAATTGATGAAAATATCATCAACCCCCAAGATGAATCTAAAGAGTCGGATAGTACATCTGAGGGGGAGCGTGAAAACGAAATTGTCGACAATCATGAAATTTCAATAAATTACATCCACACTAGAAAACAGTGGGATAGAGTAAAAACCTATGTCAATGATGTGTTCGCATACTTAATTGCCACAGAAATCATCACTGATGTTGAGGACACCGAGCCATCATCTGTAGATGAATGTCGACGAAGGAGTGATTGGCCAAAATGGAAAGAAGCCATTCAAGTTGAATTAAAATCACTCACAAAACGAGAAGTTTTCAGTCCAGACTCCAAAAGGAGTGAAACCCATCGGGTATAGATGGGTGTTCATACGAAAAAGAAATGAAAAGGACGAAATTGTAAGATACAAGGCTAGACTTGTAGCCCAAGGTTTCTCTCAAAGACCGGGAATCGACTATGAGGAAACATATTCACCTGTGGTAGATGACAAGACACTAAGATTCCTCATAAGTGTATTAGCATGTAAAGGACTACAAATGCGTTTGATGGATGTTGTGACTGCATACCTTTATGGGTCACTTGATACCGACATCTATATGAGAGTCCCCAAAGGACTTGAACTACTTGAACCTTTGAGGTCACAACCTCGAAAGCTACATTCCATAAAATTGAAAAAACCACTATACGGTTTAAAGCAATCTGGGAGGATGTGGTTTAATCGTTTAAGTGAGTACCTACTCAAAGGAGGGTATAAGAACGACCAAATTTGTCCATGTGTATTCATCAAAAGGTCTGAAAATGGTTTTGTCATAATAGCGATGTATGTTGATGATTTAAACATCATCGGAACACATAAGGAAATCGAAGAAACCGCTAAATGTATGATGAAAGAATTTGAAATGAAGGACCTTGGAAGAACAAAATTTTGTCTCGGATTACAAATTGAACATCTGAAAGATGGTATCTTAATTCATCAATCCAATTATGCCGAGAAAGTATTAAAAATATTCTATATGGACAAAGCACATCCATTGAATTCACCAATGATTGTTTTTGCTCTAAAGATCAAAGATGATCGACAAGAAGGTGAAGTTGTACTTGGTCTAGAGGTGCCATACCTAAGTGCAATAGGAGCTTTGATGTACCTGGCTATCAACACTAGGCCAGACATTGCATTTTCGGTGAACTTATTAACAAGGTATAGCAATGAACCTACAAGCAGACACTGGAATGGAGTGAAGCACCTACTTCGCTTTATACGTGGAACAATTGATTTAGGGATCTTCTATCCAAGAAATGGAAATCCTATTCTCGTGGGATATGCTGATGCAGGTTACCTATCAGATCCAGTAAAATTGAAATCACAAACTGGTTATCTTTTCAGCTATGGCAATACAACAATCTCTTGGAAGTCAACCAAGCAGACACTAACAACAACTTCATCAAACCAAGCTGAATTGATTGCCCTTTATGAAGCTGGTAGGGAATGTATATGGTTGCGATATGTGACCCAACATATACTAAAAGAAAGAGGCATCAAAACAGTCGAAGAAGACCCAACTACAATATTTGAAGACAACACTGCTTGCATCTCACAAATTAAAGGAGGCTACATCAAAGGTGATAGAACAAAACACATCGACCCCAAGTTCTTTTCTATTCATGACTTGGAAAAGGAAGGCAAGATCGATGTCAAGCAGATCCAGTCATGCAACAACTTAGCCGATCTATTCACGAAGGCATTACCACCTAGCAAATTTCAAGAACTCGTGCATATGACCGGCATGCGTCGTTGTAGGGAATATTTCAAGCATTATCCTAGCTTGAACCCCAATGTGATCATACACTTAAGTAAGGTGGCGTCCAAAGGGAAAGAAGATAGAGCAAAAGAGTCGCCAACAAGTTTTAGGAACTTGTAAACCGTTCACAGGGTGAAGGTTACACCCCTTAACGATCCAGGAGATTGTCAAATCCAATAGGTGTGGAGCCATGACTGATAGTTCGGGGATGAAGGTACAAATCCAACCTAAAAGAGATTGAACCTGCCCTAATAATAGGCCTTTACTTTATTCTGATCGTATTCATGTGCGCTTTCTGACTAACATGGAATCAATAGGATTAACCCTAAACCTGTTTATCTATGTTGGTTGAATATTAATGCACAAATAAACTATTATTGGCGATCACTTGAATTATAATCATATTAACCCTAAACAAGATTATTAATTATCTTATTAAGCGTGATTACAAGAACCAATTCCCTTTAAGCATGCATAAAAGGTGTGATCAAGCAATAAATAGCAAGCAACATAATAACAATAACAATAACAATTATTATAACAATTAAAAAAATAATCATGTTAAAGCATAATAATAGCAAGATCCTAGGCATGATACTAACAAGATTAATAACAAACCCTAGCATGTCACTAAACATCAAATATCAAAGCTTTGACCCTAACATGATACTAACATGCTATTAAGAAGAAAATAAGAAGCATAGCAGGAATCATAATTGTCATATTTGATATTAGAAATTATAGTTGTTACCCTAAACATGATACTAGGAAGATCAAAACGCCCTAACATGACACTAGGAATCATAATAACAACCTAGACATGATTTCTATATCATAATAACAATAAAATCAATTAAAGCACTTACTTGGATGCCTCGTACCTCTTTTAATAACAAAATACACACGTTAGTAACTTCAAGGAAAATAATAAAACAACAATTAAATTAAATAATTAAAATAGAGATTTGGGACCAAACCCTCAGAAATTAAAACCTTTCATGTCTAGGGCGAAGGCAACTTCGAATTATGCTAGGTGTGTCTAGATCTTGTGAATGCGGAATTTTGTATGTAAAAAGGTTGGTTTAGAAAAAGAGAGAGAATAAGCTTTAGCTTAGAGAGAGGAGAGACTTAGAAAACTAGAGAGTTGATGATTGTTGATGATGAAAAACGGAGGTTTTAGGAGGCTATTTATAGAGAAAATCAGCCAAACGGATAGAAAAACAAATCAGAGTTTTGACGAGGATAAAACTTTAGCGCCAGGCGCTAAGGCTAGCGCTAGGCGCCAAGCGCTAATCCCTGTCGTCAGGCGCTAGAAATTATTTTCACGCGTTTTCTTAATTCTGATAAAATTTAGCCGTTCAGAAGGGCAAAATCGTATTTTCCTTAAAAACACTCTTTTATTTTGATTAAAACTCTAAAAAGTCAACCAAAGTCAATTCATCAATGCTAATTGAATTAGGAATGAAAAGAACCTTCTAGAAGAATCTAAAAGACTAAAATCAATTCTAATTGCATTAGGAATGATAAATCCATATTAGGCCCTCCTCTAGATCACTGGGCCGCATATAAATATCAAACCGGACCCAGTTTAGTAATTTGGCCATAACTTCCTCATTATTCATCGGAATTGGGCTTATAATATATCGTTGGAATGCTCTTTTCAAGCCCCATCCAACTACACCATTATTGGACCCTTGATATGGAACAAACCAAACTGGATTGACTGTTTTCTTAAAATAGGTTTTCAAAAACAGAGAGGAGAAACGAAATTAAAACTATCCGCAATACTAGACTTTCCACACTTTCACTTCATTCGATTGATTATGATTCGACGCGAAAGGTACTCATCACCGGGTTTGGTTTTAGGGAGACACAAATGGGTGTCTACAGTCGTCTTTGTGGTCTTTGCTAACTTAGGGGGGAGCCCTATATGTGTTGTACTCTTTTTCCTTCGTCCAAGTTTTTACCCCACAGGATTTTTCTTGGCAAGGTTTTAATGAGACAGATAAACATATAGGTACAATATCGGTAATATTTTTTTTTACATACATGTAAATTTTAGATAGGAGTCATCCTATAGAAATTTGTTCAAGGGGGAGTGTTGTAATACGCACCGTATTGCGTAATATGAACGGATTAAGAATACCGCCAAACATCACCGATTAGTTTCACATGCAAAAGTAAATATCGCCGCTCAGAATCTCATGCTCGATTAGACATTTCACTGCGTATTTAACATATCGAGTAAACACTGTTTATGCAAGGGTACTATAAATCCCCGCATAATCTAAAGGAAATATACACAACAATTATCGGAGTATCTAAAAGCTTTCTTTTGATCTCTTTGAAATCCTTTGCGGTAAGATATTAGATTTTTTTTAAAAGGAATAAGTTACCAGTTAATTCAAATAAATAGAAAAAGGGAAAAGAAATAAAAAAAAAATTGAAATACTACGTATAAAAAAAAAAAAAAACCAATCATCTATTGTTTATCTTCTCCACTGAATTCCTAATCCTTGACCATCCCCTGGCCTTGTCAATTAGCAACTCTAGAGCTAGAACTAAGCTTTCCCTCACTGCCCCACCGCACCCCTTCAACCTCAACCAACAGCCCACACACCGCAACTCTGCAGCCTGCACCACCGCCACACCTTCCCGGTGACTCGCCTGCAGTCCGCCGGAGCCCGGAGTCCTGCACATTTCTTCTTCGTCAGTCATTTCTCCTCTTTATTTGTTTGTTTAATTTTTTCAAATTAGTGGTACTTGCTGATTTGGTTTATTGGTTTTCATGTATTATTCACAAATTGAATAATTTAATGTGAATTGTCAAGTTACTCACTTAAAATTTTACTTGGTTTTTTAATTGATAATTACAATTTCATTTTGTCACATTTGTGTTTACTTGGGATTATTGTGAATGTTGTATGCATTATCTCATTTGCCCAACCTCATCTCACACCTCCACAATTGCTTTTGGTGAATGAAAATTTGAATTGGCACCCAGAGATTTCAATTATCTATTTATTACCCTGTTCGAACTGAATGTTGCTTTACTTTTAGGACAAAATGCGATAATCTTTCAACTAATGATCCATGGAGTGTGTATATCACTAGAAGAAAGGGAATTCAGGTTCATTTGGCGAATTTAGTCATGGAATTTATAATTTTCAACTAACATTACTGCAGGGGGTTGGGGCGCCGGGGGGGGGGGGGGTGTTGCTTTTGGATGTATAGTGAAGTGTACTAAACCATACAATTGGTGTTTTGGAGGGGAGAATTTTCAGGTGCTTGTTGTACCACACTTATACTGTTGGTTTGGATAAGGAAGGGAAAATTTGCTGACATTAATTACAGACACTTGCTACATTTTTTGCTGAGAAATATAATGTTGAAAATTCGAACTTATGTATTGAATATTTAATTAAATATATGATCAATTTGTTTTTGTAAGATTCTGAACCCACAAATTGGAATTCCTGGATATGCCACTGAAGCGCACTCAACGTACTCATTGAATCTAATACTTGTATCCCCCATTTATCATATCAATTTCACAATCTAGGGTTTAATCTAATTTAATTGTTAGTGCATTAAGTGTAGGGCTCGAAATCTCAACTATTGGTTCTTAATTCTAAAATAACCAACTATTATTTTACCAGAAAAGAAAATTATGAGCCTAATTGATTATTGAATCAAATATCCCTAAAATTATGTGATTTTACGAGATAATTGAATCAAGTTTGGTTGCTAATGTATTGCACAACCCTTTAATGTTAGGATTCAACTATGAAATTACACCTCTTTAATGTATTGCGCCTCCTGCCTAGCTCAGGGGACAGGTCTTAGAGTCTGTTGGATTTTAGCTTCCTTACCATATTATTGTTTCAATGTAACAGATGGTTTGTCCAGTGAATTGTCATTACAATTGTTTTATAAGAGACGGTAGATGGACCTGTTATGATGCAATCTCGAGGGTGAAACCTCGATTTCCTTTGTCAAATAATGTACATGAAAGACATTATGGGGTGAATTTGGCAAGATTTTACAAGACAAGGCTTAACCCTCATTTACAAGGTTCATTAATTCAGGAACAACACCTTCCTGTCCAGTCTTCAGTAACTGCTTTTTTTAAAGGTATTACGGGTGTGTTTGTATTTGGACATGTGAAATTTCTTCTTTAAGTAAGCTTCTTAACACTTAATGCTTTCAGCGCTTTGACAGATAAAGAAGACATTGTGGAATACTTTGACAGTGATTCCTTACGAGAAAAGCCCTTTTTAGATGATCTTATAGTTACCAATGGATACTATATTCGAAGTGAAGACTCGGATAGTCTTAATGATGAAGAGACCAACTTTACTGAAAGGAATCAACCTTTGGAGGAGCCCTGGTTCATGCGGCCATGTGCTATCTCTCAATATGCGGAAAAAGACTTCAATGCTCATATTGATTCCTTTGATCGAGAAGGAACTTTGAAAAACTTTCCAAATGATCATGTTATGTCACAGTCATTGTCTAATAATTTCAGATACGGAGGTGAGCACTTCATTGAAAGTGAAAAAATGTATCATCAAGTTGATGGCGACTTCAGTTCTACCTGGTCTTTCTCTGAGAGGGACCATCCTGTTGAGGATCCTTGGCTCTTATATCCAATTCCCGATTTTTCAGAAACTAGTGTCATCCCAGTTGCTGAAACTCCCATCATTGAGGAGCCTACTGAAGATGAGGCACGTCTTCAAGAACTGCAGGAACAACACCAAATTATTTCAGAAAAGCTGCTTTCTGGAACAGAAAGTAATCTGCTTCCACCAGTGGGTTTAGTTTCTACTGAGATATTAATCAACTGCTCTATCTGTACCATGCAAAGGATAGCTGTACTTGAAGATGGAAATCTAGTTGAGTTGTTATTAGAACCTGTCAAAAGTAATGTGCAATGTGATAGTGTTTACCTGGGGGTAATTACAAAACTTGTTCCTCATATGGGTGGTGCATTTGTAAATATAGGGAGTTCCAGACCCTCTCTTATGGACATTAAGCATTATAAGGAACCTTTTATATTTCCACTCTTTGATACTTCAAAGGAAAATGATGTGACTTGCCCTCCATCATCCGTGCTTGAGAAGAACTTAGACATCAGTCATTTTAAACAAGCATTTTTGGAAGAAGATGATGAACTTGCTGATGATGATGTGGAGGTTGATTTTGAGGATGAAGAATTTGAGGGACATGTGAATGAAGATACTATGGATTTCGATGAAGTTCAAACGGGAAATCTTATTCAGGTTAACAGTAATGGAACTGGCTCAAATCTTGGGAACTTAGAATATCAGCTGGATGGGAATGGGAACCATTTAAAAATTCAAACTGATTCCCATCATTCAGTGGTGAAAAAACATAGGAGCACCAATGACATCCACAGTGCAGAAGAAATGTGGGCTAATGTTCGCAAAGGCACTAAGATACTTGTGCAAGTTGTAAAAGAGGGGTTGGGTAAAAAAGGTCCGACATTGACTGCTTATCCAAAGCTTAGGAGCAGATTCTGGGTAAGAATTGCAAAAGATACATTTTAAACCCAAGGTTTCTCTTTGTTGTTGTATTTTCGTTTTCAATATCAACCATCAAGTGGTTAAGGTGGATAAATGCATAAAATTTTGTGCTCTTTTTGAAAATTTTGGAACTTCTTTCCTTTCACTATTAGGTATTGATCACCCGGTGCAAGAGTATTGGAGTATCAAAGAAAATTTCTGGGGTCGAACGCACACGCTTGAGAGTCATAGCAAAATCTTTGCAGCCCCCCGGTTTTGGTGTGACCATCCGAACTGTTGCTGCTGGTCATTCTGTGGAAGAATTACGAAAGGACTTGGAAGGGTTGCTTGCAACATGGAGAAATATTGTTGAACATGCAAAATCTGCAGCACTTGCAGCAGATGAAGGTGTTGAAGGTGCTGTACCTGTTATTTTGCACCAAGCAATGGGGCAGACACTATCTGTTGTCCAGGATTATTTTAATGAGAAGGTTTTCTGCCTTTGATACAATTTCCCTATAATTTTACCTTTTATGTTTGTTTATAGACATTTTGAAATGTTTTTTCTGGTAGTCCAATTCCTGGTATTTAAATGAACTTGTATGCTGCAAAGAGTTATTTCATAATCAAATGTTACATGCCTTATTGTCTTATCTTTTTTATTCTGTTCAGGTTAAGAGAATGGTAGTAGACTCCCCAAGGACATACCATGAGGTATGAAACTCACTCTTCAAATTTGTTTTAGTTGCCCCTTTACTTATGTTTTAGTTGTTGTGGTTATATTACACCCCAGTCCAAAGGAGTGGATGGACAGCTCTAAATTTTAAATTTGATAGCCCTATTAAATGGAAGATTTTCATATGTTTTCGACTGTATATGTTACCTGGATGTAGACCATGTAGTTGCTATAGCAGTTTAGTAGATGTAGTTGATATCTCTCTATTTTCTTTGGGCAATAGAATTTGTGTTTGATCTGAGGTTAGGTCAATCATTTATCATTCATCTTATCTTTCCAAGCTTTTGATCATCTACCATCCAGATGAATAGAAATAAAACGTGTTTGTGAACACTGGTTCTTACAGAATGCATAATTAATTGAGGCTTATTGACTTCCTCGTTCGATTCTTCAGGTAAAGATGAAGAGGTGTTTTAAGCTGTTCTGAAACAACTTATTTGCCTAATATAGTGTAGAAATAAGTTCTTGATCATCATTGTTGTAATATGTTATTCATGCATCTTGATAATCTAAACAAGTTAAGATTTCATATGTCGGACTTTGTTCTTATTTGATGTTATTTTCAGGTGACCAATTATCTGCAGGATATTGCTCCGGAGCTCTGTGATAGAGTCGAGCTACACAGGAAAAATGTTCCTTTGTTTGATGAATTCAACATTGAAGAGGAGATCAATAATATTCTTAATAAAAGGTGAGGATGCCAAGAGTCAATTTTCCAAAGGTGTGGTATGTTGTAATTTTTGTGTTTATTTACATCTAATTGTTGGACTTGATCTTACTCCTCCATGTGTGTTTTTTAGAATGCTTATATTGGTAGGTTCAATCTGAACTACCATTTTACTGTTATTGTTTTGTTAGGGTTAACTGCAAGTAGGGGGATTTTGAATTGGTTTTGTTGCCATTGTTATGTGCTTATGCCCTTGGTTTATGTCAAAATAATTTGATAGCATTGTCATCAACAAATTAGGAAACTTATCATAGAATTTATAAAAATCTTTATTGGGCATTATGGAGTAGAGATGTAGAAAGAAAGGAGGAATGAGAGAATGATGACCAAAATTCAGAAGGGTCTTGGTGAAGACCAAATTAAATTCTGATCATCTCTGCAATTTCTCTGTATGTTCCCCATCTAAATGAGTGGTTGATATTTCGTTGTTGTTGTTGTTTGACGAGAAGAATAATATCATTAATAATTAGCCGTACGACATCTACAATAAGAATATAGATCTATAAACCACATATTCAAAGAAAGAACATATATTTTAAATATCGAATAACATTTTTTTTGCATTCTTGGCACACTTCATACTCCACCAATTCAAGCTTGACGCAAGCAGTGAAACTTTGAAATCCTTGCATCTTCCAAGTAGAGACCTTCTCAATTTAGACTAATGTACTAATCGAGGAGTTGTTGACAAGACCTTAGCCCATATGAATCCAAATCACCTCCTACTAGGACCAAAAAAAAAAAAAAAAAAAAATCCGTGGATGAGAATAATAAACCCAAAAAATTGGGAAGAAAACTCTCACGGATGGAGAAAACATATCAACAACAAAAAAGAGAAAAAAAACTTAATTGTTATAAAGAAAAAGGGTTGGAGATAGTCTAGTTTTTGAAGAAAAAGAGAATAGGAGGAGAGCAGCAATATATGGAATAATTCTACGAGTGGTTGATTCTGAATTGCTGAGAATCCTCCAAGTAGAAAATTTCCGAGTGATTGAAGAAAGAAGGTATAATTAATCTTTTTAATTTCCGATTAGTAATTCATAGTTTCATACACCAGCTTACATATATTCTCAGACAACTCTGGAAGTCTGTTATGTGATGTGATTGATTTGTGTGTTCTTGTTGTCATAGGAAATTGCATGAGTTATTTATAGAGAATTAAATACATATGTTAAAAAAAGCAGAGAATTGTGTCAGGAAAGTCCATTAGTTGTGAACAATAAATGCCTCTAAGTCAAACTGTTTGCTCCTAATAAATTTTGTATGTGATATTGTGCTGGGTCCCAAATTTGTGCATAACAATCAGTAAGGAAAGTGCTTTAAATTGTGCTGATTGCATCTTGTTGACAGGGTCGCTCTTCCAAATGGAGGATCTTTGGTAATCGAACAAACTGAAGCTTTAGTCTCTATTGATGTGAATGGAGGACATGGGATGTTTGGTCAAGGGGCTTCACAAGAGAAAGCTATTGTTGATGTCAACCTTGCTGCCGCAAAACAAGTGCGTGACACTCTACTTTTGTGCTGATAAGTTTACTCGCTGGTGCTTTGTGCTTGAAAAGGAAATATTGCGTTTTTGGTTAAATGAAATTAAATGAAACCAAATTTGTATTACGAATTGCATGGCCTTGTTGGGCAATTACTCCCTCCAAACCCGAAAGAAGGTTACGTTTGGTGGGTTTACAAGGTTAATAAAGAAAATAAGATGGTGGAAAACAATGATTAGATATCACACTCATCAAGTATTAAGGCATTAAATGAACATTGCAAATAGGAATATTTGCACTGGGAGTAGGTAAATATTTATGTAAATAAGAACAGTTACATTGGAAGTATGTAAATATTTCGATAAATGGTGTAGTTTCATGGAAAATATGTATGTATGGAGGAAATGTGTAAAAAAAAAATAATTATGTTAATGTTAAGTAATAATTGAAACGTAACCGTTAAAGGAGAACGTCAAAAAAGGCAAACGTAACCTTTTATGAGGAACGAAGGGTTTTTAGATGTTTTTAAAAGTGTTTGGTAAATAATTGGATAGTAATTAGTTGTTTTAGAGTATAAAACAACTAAAAAAACTAAAAGCTCTTTAAAAACCTCTTCATATGAGATTTTTAAAAAAGAGATTTTTGGGTCAAGCTCTTAAAAAAGTTTTTAACCGAACACCCTAAGAGCAACTCCAATAGTTATAACTAGGGACTTGCTTGCAATTTTAATAATTCCCTAGCTACAAGCTTGACCATTGGAGCTAGAAAACTCAATTAGTTTGGCTAAGCAAATTAGCTTTGCCAAGCTAATTTGCTTGGAAATTAAACTTGACAAAATAAAATGCTCAGTGCACCAATTAAGCTCTTTCCATATATTTTCTATTCAACAACTACTACTAAGCTAATAGCCAGCCATTAGAGCAATAAGTAGCTAAAATGATAATTAGCTTAAAAGCTTATGTGACATGACAAGCTAATTGTCAAATTATCTTTCCATTAGAGTTGCTATAAGGAGCTTTCGGAAATGGTCAAATATCTCTTTTTGTTCCAAAAGGTTACTAACCAAACACCCTCCTATGTAAATTCTAAATTTCTTATACATCAATGTGTTTAGTAGACCTATTATTGGCAGGGTGGGGCGGGTCAAAGAGGGTCATATTTTACAAGGTCAAAAATGGGTCTGGCCAATGCCAATCGTGGGTCAATAGCGGGTCGATAATAGGCGGGCCAACAAAATAACAGTTAAAATAAATATTGAACAAAGCCATTATTAAGTATATTTGAATACAAATTTATCTATGTAATTATTTTCATATCATCTATATTATTTGTCTGTTAAATTGGAAAAACATTTTGGCCCTATATTGCCCGTACGCAATAGGGTCTTGTCCATTTTAGGCTCTGTCCATTATAAACCCTTTAAGCTTGGCCCTAATTCTATTATCATTGGGCTACCCTACCCAATAACCAGGTCTAGTGATTAGCTAACTTTTCCTTATGTTGATTAAGTTTACAGTATATACTTCAAGCCCTAAGGGCTTACCGTAAGCATAAGCATTAAATATGTTTCATGTATTTGTATTAGTTTAGAAATCTATGAAAAAATTACATGTCGACTGGTGTTTGTTTGATAATTCTTGTATCTTTCTTATTTTAACTTTTTTTTTTGTTTATATATATTTTTATTCTTTTTTCTTTTAGCTTAAGCGCTGCATATATCTTCTTATTTTTATGCAACAGTTTTCTGTCTCCAGATGTTTCATTTCTATTTTTAAAGCTCCTGGAGTTTAAATGTTATTCATGTTTGCATAACTAAACTAGAATCAATGTTAATTCATCAATAGTGTTACAAAATACCTAAAAATATTCAATCATCTTCTTTTGTTTCATTGGTGAAAGGGATACTAGAATTAGTTTTCCTTTAGCAATAGTGCTATAGATTACCTTCAGAGAATTAGTTACAGTACACTGTTAGACATGAAAACTGCATCATATTAAAATATTCAATCATCTTCCTTTGTTTCATCAGTGATAGGGAAGAGAACCACTTAGATGTAAAAATTACTATTCTTTGTTAGAATACTTCTAACAGCATTTTTTTTTCCCTAGATTGCTAGGGAATTACGTCTCAGGGATATTGGTGGCATCATCGTGGTAGATTTTATTGATATGATGGATGATTGTGAGTAAACCTCTGCTATGATTCTTTCTCTCCATAAATTCCTGATGTTTGTTGTCATTTTGTAATTTTCTTGGCAATAGGATACAGGTATGAAATTATGTAAACTTTAAGCAGATTTAGAATGCAGGGATGGATAAACATATTGTTTACTATATTCTTTGTTGATTAAGTCAACTTTCTTGATAGGCAATATCAAGTTATAAGCCTCAGTTCTTGAAAAGTATAATCACGTTGTCTTACACTTTTCCAACTGATTGTAATGAGATCAGCAGACAATGAGAATCCTACTTCTGTGGCAGCTCTTAGTCATCTATATCGCAATGCTTTTCACAAGAGGGGTGAAATAGTAGCAATCTTAATGGAACTTGTTTGTCTTCTGAAGGAACTCTTTCAGCTCTGAACTTAGGAGAGTCAAGACACTTTATTCCTGACACCAATTTACATAAATGATTAAATCATTGAGGTCCTCTGCCCTCTATTCCTTATTCTTTGAACTCTTGAAAATCAATTTTTTGTTGTTTTCATTACAACTTGTTGATCATCCCACTCCTAAATGCAGGGTAAAAAAAATAGTAGTGTTTATTTTTATTATATAAATATGTTTGTCAACCTTTCATTTTAATTTTTTATTTTGTAAATTATTGATTGAGCTGTTAGTTAAACACCATTACTTTTGATTATTGTTCTTACTTTACTCTATAATGTAAAACACAAGTAAATTACACACATTGGTGATGTGTTTGCAAAATTTACAAATTTGAGCCTGGCGATATAATTACTTTTCAGTTCTGGTGGCCTGTTTTTTGCTCTGCTTATCCCTCCATTATAATAGTTAGACAAAATATCACCTCTCTGAATTCCTGGAAAACATTGTTCGACAATAAGACTTAATATAAAGGGAATCCTGTTTGAGAATCAGAACTTGCCAATATGTTTTTCTCTTGATTTTTCTTTTTTTCTGGCTGATGCCTTCTTTCCAGCAAATAAAAGATTAGTTTATGAAGAAGTGAAGAAAGCAGTCGAGAGGGACCGCTCAATCGTTAAGGTTTCTGAATTGTCCAAGCATGGACTTATGGAGATTACCAGAAAGAGGGTATGTATTGAATGTTAATGCTTCATTCCTCATATATCCCTGATCCAAAAATGTGTTACGTTGGCTTTGTGTTAGGTTTAGCATAGGCTCTTTATCTTATTACTCCATTGTGTCTTGTTTTTTTTTTTTTTTTTTTTTTTTTTATTTTTTTTTTTTTAATTTTTTAATTTTTTTTTGTATATTTGACTTTTTGAATGAAACATTTTGTAAAACTTAAATGGAGTTATTTATTTAGGCTTGTCTAGGTAAATAGCTTTATAACATTGTCTTGTAGAATTTTATTCAGGGATCTTTTATCACAAAAACTTAGAACTACTTATTGTGTTGTAAATCACTGCCATAAAATTTGACCTTAAGTTGAATATCAATTTGTCAATTAAGAGCAAGATGGTTACTATATTTAGTGGTCAATTTTAAGGTGTATACTGTATAGTGACTAGTGAAGGGTCTAATCAGGTACTTCAAGGTGTATACTGTAAGTGACTAGTGAAGGGTCTAATCAGGTATTTCAAGGTGCATACTGTATACTGAATTGTAGGGAAAAAAAAGTCATGAAGTCAATTGTTTACAAGAAATCTTTTTAGGAGGTTCTTTCTTTCCAAAAAGAAAAAAAAAAAAAAAGGCTGTATATAAAGTAGGTGTTGATAGAGTTCCCACGATTTTTTTCTCGCTGGTAAACAACTGTTAAAAGTTTAATTAAAAAAGGTCAATGTGGTTGTGATCTTGTAAGATTGAGTGAAACAAAATTTATTATTTGTTCAATGAATGCAGCTCAAAATTCAGTCGCGAATGCTGTAGTTTATAAGTTACTTTATTATCTAACTGTTATATTCTTAACATAATTTAAACAGGTACGCCCTAGTGTGACATTTATGGTAAGTGAACCATGCACTTGCTGTCATGGTACTGGGAGAATTGAGGCTCTAGAAACTTCCTTCTCAAAGATTGAGCATGAAATATGCCGCTTGCTAGTAAGTAAAGCTTTTCCTTTATGATTTCTTCCTTTGCTTCACCTGTATAGGCAAACATCCAAGTAGGTCTATTTGGCGTAGGATTCAAATCTGCATTTTTCTTCATATAACTTGATACAAAGGATTGTCGAAGCCGTTAATTCACATCCTCATTAGTCTGTTCGGAGGAGAGGATAAACTTTAATTCCTTTCATCTACTTTCATTTGCAATATTTTCTTGTATCCTTTTTAATCTAATTCGTTGCCTTTCTTTCTATCAGGCAACAGTGGGCCAGAAAGCTGATCCTGAGAACCCGAAGTCCTGGCCCAGATTGCTGTTGAGAGTTGATAGTTACATGTCCGACTATTTGACATCAGGGAAAAGGACAAGACTAGCAACTTTGAGTAGCTCTTTGAAAGTTTGGATTCTTTTAAAGGTATGGCTGATTTCCTATTATTTGGTCATACTGACTGTTGGAAATATAGATTTGTCATTGTCACCTGACTGTTTGCAGAGGAACTTGTTCAAATTTATAAATGCATATCAGGAAATAAATATCTTGAGCTGCAAATATACACATGTTTGAGATGAAACTTCATCAAATACATATACTTGATTTCTTTTTACTTGCAACAAACAATTTTGGCACGCAATTTAACAAAGATATTAGAATAGGTAATGGACTGAGTTTTCAGACTATGTAATTGAAAATTATCAAGTGAATAAATAAAGATAGAAGCTTGATACTTGATTAAAAATGGCCATAAGATAGTTTGAGGCTATTAATCTCTAGTTTAGCAACTTGAGGTTTCTACTACTATGCCACATCCTATTTATAATTAAGCCCTTTTACAAGTTAACCTAACATCAATTATATTGGTCACTACTTTGCTCTATTTTCCCTCCAAATCTCTCCAATTTTGGAGGGATCATGCTTATTAAAAGAGAGGAAAAATGGATCTCCCCCTCTCCTTCCCCTTCCTCCTCCCAATTCTTTACCCAAACTAAATTGTTGTCCTCCATTTCTCTTCTCTTCTTTTCCTTCCATTTCCATCTGTCCTAACAAAGTGTTGGTGTTTCATTGATTATTTTTACCACATCTGCCATGTTGTCCACCTTTTCCCCTTGCTGCTGGCATGCTGCTGCTTGTCTCTTCCCCCTTTGTCTTGTATCTCAAGTTATTTACTCCTTCGAGTGTAGACCTATATTGGAGGTTTGGGTGTGGCCACCAGGTGCACCGAGTCCATCACAGTGAACGAACAAATTAACTAAATAAATTTTACCACCAACAAACAGAAAGTTTTAAATTGTTGCGGTTTAATTTATCAAGTTTACTTTGTCCGTTTACCTTTTCTAATCTCTTCCTCAAATAGCATGCCAGAAGGGGTGTTGTAAGTAGAGGAAGTATTATTTTACAATATAATCTTAAAAACTATTGTAAACAACAATTCAGAGCTAAAGACATCCATGTCAAATTGTGAATTTGTGATGGCTGACTGACACAGTGCAGTGATCATAATGAAAAAAATCTGACACTTACCCTGCATAGCCATTATGTAGGAGGCTTTCCTATTAGGTTTCCATTTACTTAGCAATCAAGATTAGAGGCATGATCTCATCCTTGGTTATTATATCTGAAACTTGGGGCAGCAATTTGCTCTATAGTCTCCTGATATTTCCTTTGATAAAACTACTTTTACCCCCCTACTTTATACATTTGACACCCTATTACTCACTTGCATGCAGTCTTCATACTTGATTTATTACCTTCTGTAATAAGGTTTCCTTCAGTCTGTCTCTAAACAATAAGCCACATATGATGGAAGGAAATTTAGAGATGACAATGAAGGAAAGCAGGACAGGAGTCTGTTTCTACACATCCTTCCCACCTAAATATTTCATGCCACCCCCTAACTGCTCCCCATGACAGGCACAAATCTAAACCATCAAATCCTGTGGTTACATACTCTCCATGAAGCAAATGTGTTCTGCAGCCAAGTTTAATATTCTACACTATAATAGAAAGCATGGAATGTCTAGCTTGAGGCTGCTTTTAATTAATGAGAATAATCAACTATTAGAGTCAGCTAAGTCTACTCTCTTAACTGAACCTAGTCACACCTATATCATGCATTGAATCAATAGGCGAATTGGGTTGAAAGCCCAAATATGTCATTCACAAATTACATAGATCCAGGTAAAAGGTTGTTCTTGCACATTAATTTTATTAATGTAAAACCCAATAATTCTCCCATATCACTAGATTATAGGGAGAAGGTTAAGGAAAATTGATTAATAATTTGGTAATTAGATTAGGTGAAAGCTTGAAAGACATGATCGTATTGATTATAGTCATGGTGGAAATCACCAATTGCACGTTCAGGAGGTTGGTGCTCTCTGCCCAGCAATTTCTCCGTGTACTCTCATCAATGTTCAACTTACTAACTATATTTTTTCTTCCACAGCTACCGATAACATCATTATGATGATTCCACCTAAAGTGCCCCTCCCCTTAATACTAAAGCATAGTGTATGTATGTTCTTAACTATGTAGGTCATATGTTTGTGTTAGCGTAGATTCGAATTTTTCCCATTCTGTATGTTAATGAGTGAGCCAGGAAGTGCAGCAAAACACTAGCTATGACCCACCTCAACTAAACCAATGATAAACTTGACTGACTGATTTAAAAATGAGTCCCATATCTCCAATTTATTCAATATGCTGCATATTCGTTGCTGTAGTTATCATCCATAAGTGATAAGTGCATGGATCTTGAAATATTTTACAGTTAACTTTATATGTTGTCCATAATTTTCACATCTTTGAACCTAAATTGAAATATACTTCGTATATGAAACTGGATTATAAATTTTTTCTGAGTTTATATTTACTACTAGTATTTTTTTTTACATTACCAAGGATAAACTAGTTATACTACATAATTTGTTCTTAATTTGATCATCTGACGCATGCATCACTTTACCAGGTAGCAAGAAACTTTGCGAGGGGTGCATTTGAGGTCCGACTACTTGCTGAGGAAAAGGGAATTACTAACCAGCAACAAGTTGGTGTGACCACTCAATCAGCTGAAGCTGCTACAATTATACCCACCAAGAGAACTAAGTTGTTCCCTGTGAAGAGATGGAAGGCAGGAAGAAAATTATGACCATGAATTTTTATCGAAGCTGTTCTCTGTTTAAAGGTGAAAGATGAGAAGGAAAAAAAAGCCTAGAGAAATAACTTGAGATTAAAATAATATCCAATGAACATCAAAGAACATCAAATTTTGGTGAAAGAAGATTTTGCAAATGATGAGTAGCTATTGCAGGTGTGATGAACTCAAGTAGGCAAGACAAGTGAAATAACTGAGGAAATTAAAACCTCTCCTGTTGTTTCACTTGTCTGCCCTTTCAGGTTTTATATGAGATTTTAGCCAACATATTTGAATTTGTAGCTTCGCGAAGATCAGAGCAGCCAATAATTCTTAAATAACTGCTACAAGTCCAAGCTAAAGCTTGATTTTGAGTTATGTACTGAAACCATGTAATAAACGGCATGTATAGAGTGGCTCACTGGTTGCCTTGATTTTGTTGTTTACGTGTAAATTAATGTAATTTTCGAACTAAAATAATAGTTAGGGTTTAGATTTTGGTCTAAAGAATATCTGGTTTTGTAGATGACTAATTTCGGCTTGCCTAAGAATTCTTTCATTAGTTTGTGACTTGCCTAAGTATGAACTGTAACATAATACTTCAGCTATTAGAAAGGTTACACCAAATCTAATGCGGAGTGAAGCTTTGTTTGTGCTTGAAATTGTTACTACTACAAAAAATATGGGCTAACATGATATGTACACTTGCGATGACACATAACATATAAGAGTTTACCATAACCTCTTCATTGACATATTCACTTAATTGATTATACACACATATATCATGTTTCATAGATACACTTATTAAGACTTGGATTATACCAACCAACTAACAAATGAAGACTTGGATTATACCAACCACTATACATAGATACACTTATTAAAAAACTACATTTACTTGATAGATTGGGTTATTAGCTTATTGGAAATGCCCTACAGATTTTGTGTATAATACCATACCATTTTTTTTTTAATTTTTTTTTTTTATATTTGGCTGTGAACCAAGTGTGCAGCTTTAGAGTTTATGCTTTGTTTGGATAGCAAAGAAGGAAGGAAAATAAGGGGAGGGAAAATGGAGGAAGGGAAGGGAAAAGAAAGGGAGGGGGAGGTGATCTCCATTTTCCCTCCAAATCTCTCCAATTTTGCAGAGATTATGGTTATTATAGAGAATTAGAAAAGGGATCCCTCCCTCTACTTCCACTTCCTTCCCCCAATCTTTTACATAAACAAGAGATTTTGTCCCTCTCCATTTCTCTTCTCTTCTTTTTCTTCCATTTCTTCCTATCCAAACAAAGTGTTAAGCAAGACTAGAGTCCCATCAAGACACTTCTTTGAGTGTGTTATATTTTGTTACTTAATTGTATATATCCCCTATAACGCAGGGTGTTAGTATTATCCATGAACTCCATGCCTTATTCCATATCGTTATTTGTTCATCATCCCCTTACTGGGATTTGACCACCATTACTGGGATTTCAGAATGTAACACCCCAATAATTCTCTCTTAAAACCTGTAAATACCCTGAACAAAATCCAAGAGAATTACTGGCGTGCTACCGCCACATCTTCAAACGTTAAGGCTTTATCAGAAAATAGCAGCGGAAAAACTAAATCAGTTATAAATAAGTTTCAAAACCAACGAATGAAACCAAATTAAGTCATACAAGTTGGAACCATTAAGGCCCTTATTCAAAACCCAATAAAAATTAAGTGATTAAATTCAGTGTTCAAATAATTCAAACCCAAAAGAAATAGTGTCAAATAAAATCGAATTAAAATAAATTCAAACTCACAAAAGAAATAAAATGCAAACAACCAACTCTCTACTCAAGATCCCACATCCCTGATGAATGCTGCATGTGTAAGAACCTGTGGTTATTCTGCTCCCCAATATTATAAGTGTAAAAATTGGATCGTCACAGGGTCATTAAAAGGTGAAGGCCATGACCAAAGAAAGACAACCAAAGCACGCAATCAACAAAGCTGAGTACATACAAGCTGCAAAACATAAAAGAAATCCCTAACATGCTACTAATAATCAACCATTACGCATCATTAGTTTATAGACTCGGCACATGACTCAACTATTTATATTACTAAGACTCCATTAATTAATAATAGGTAAATCATTATTTTTATTTATTGGATTACGCAATAGACAAGGTTGTCCAACCCATGCTCTATTTGGAACATCAATAAAAGAAAAACCCCATGTCTCCTTTCGGAAACATCAATAAACATCCAACGACCACGGGCGCGACTCCGTGACCGTAGTTAGTATGAGATCTCACCTAACTCCTAGTTTTAACAAAAAATATTTGAAATAAGAGACTCGTAGATCAGACGGTCTCGATAAAAGTACACGGCTAATACCCCGTGTACCCCAACCCCTGATTGTCATTACTCCAGAAGTGCACCAATCCAGAGTTTTATTGCTCATCCATCTTGCACTTTACTTGATTTACAGGTTTAGACTTGGTGATGACTCATATACATTACAATACAAACATTCCAAACACAATTCAATCAAACATGACAAATTGCCAATTTAAATTCTTGATTTATTAGTGACAAACAACATTTATTAATTATTCCTTTACTACCTCGGTGTATAAACACTACTTTTTCATCAAAATCGGATGAGTTCATAACCTGATCGGGATTAAAACGGGATTAATATTATTAAACGAAAATCTAAAAATTAAAACCCGAATTTAAGTGTTCAAAATAATCTGGAATTGAGTTAAAATAATCATTAGTTATAATCACCAAAATTTCAAAACATCATTACTATAAAAGCCCTAAATCAATTGTTCATAAAACCCCTAAAATCATGATTTTCAATAAATTTAAACCCTAGGTTTATAATTCATAAAATATGAAAATTTATAACATAAATATAATCTGAAATTTATAATCTTTATACCATCAAAATATAATTTGATACTAAAAATATAATCTTTATACTAAAATCAAAACCCAAAACAATTAAATTAACATTAAGCAAAATAATGAAACAAAGGATGATGAAAATAAGACTAACCTTTTTGTGTGGGAAATTTTTGGAGATTTATGGGGTATTTATAGGAGAGAATTATTGTAGGGTAAAAAGGAAGATTGAGCCTCATAAAAATAATGGGTCAATTAAGTAAACAAATGGGTTAGGCTTGTTTGATTGGACATAAATTGTAGAATAAAGATGCATAAAATAATTTGTTCAAATAACTTTCGACCCAGATTAATAATTTGAAACTTTTGAAATTAAATTATGAAAAATAACAAATAAATATTATAAATATAATAAATTTTCATTTGTAAAATATTTAAAAATACGGGGGATTACACTGAAATTGCACAAAAAACGCCATAGTAAATCCAATTCACCTCTTTGAAAAAGTGTAACACCCCAATAATTCTCTCTTTAAACCTGTGAGGACCCTGAACAATATTCAAGAGAATTACTGGCGTGCTACCGCCACATCTTCAAACGTTAAGGCTTTATCAGAAAATAGCAGCGGAAAAACTAAATCAGTTATAAATAAGTTTCAAAACCAACGAATGAAACCAAATTAAGTCATACAACTTGGAACCATTAAGGCCCTTATTCAAAACCCAATAAAAGTAGTAAGTGATTGAATTCAGTGTTCAAATAAATTCAAACCCAAAAGAAATAGTGTCGAATAAAATCGAATTAAAATAAATTTAAACTTGCAAAAGAAATAAAATGCAAACAACCAACTCTCTACTCAAGATCCCACAACCCTGATGAATGCTGCATGTGTAAGAACCTGTGGTAATTCTGCTCCCCAATATTACAAGTGTAAAAATTGGATCGTCACAGGGTCATTGAAAGACGAATGCCATGACCAAATAAAGACACACAAAGCATGCAATCAACAAAGCTAAGTACATACAAGCTGCAAAATAAATTAAGAAATCCATAACATGCTACTAATAATCAACCATCATGCATCATTAAATTATAGACTCAACACACGACTCAACTATTTATATTACTAAGACTCCATTAATTAATAATAGGTAAATCATTATTTTTATTCATTGGATTATGCAATAGACAAGGTTGTCCAACCCATGCTCCATTTGGAACATCAATAAAAGAAAAACCCCATGCATCCTTTCGGAAACATCAATAAACATCCAACGACTACGGGCGCGACTCCGTGACCGTAGTTAATATGAGATCTCACCTAACTCCTAGTTTTGAAAAATATTTGAAATAAGAGACTCGTAGATCAGACGGCCTCGAGAAAAGTACACGGCTAATACCCCATGTACCCCAACCCCTGATTGTCATTACTCCAGAAGTGCACCAATCCAGAGTTTTATTGCTAATCCATCTTACACTTTACGTGATTTACAGGTTTAGACTTGGTGATGACTCATATGCATAACAATACAATCAATCCAATATCAATTCAATCAAGTAAAACAACTTTTCAATTTCAATTCTTGATTTATTAGTGGCAAGCAACATTTATTATTTATTCCTTTACTACCTCGGTGTATAAACACCACCTTCAGTGCATAAGGCACCCCAAAACCTTAACCTCGTCTTAGAAGACTTAAATTCTTCCTTTACACATCCTGCTTGCATAATCATGAATGAGTAATAAATTAATCATTACACCAATCATATACCTTTGCCTCTAAGCGCACCTTGCATAATTAGAGCGCAAATAATACTTGCAATATAAAATAGTGCACGTCACACGAAATTCACAATGTATAACCAAACAATTTAACTTAGTCATCCCTATACATGATCTAAGTTCTCGATCCGTCGTCCTTAAACATGCACCTAAAAGAAAGGTTTCGTAACTTGTACGTACCTTGAGCAAACGAATTGGTATGCCACTTTACTAACTAGAAATCACCTTCAATAAACTCCTCTCCTAAGCCAAAATAATAACATCTCAATCAATACCCAATCAATCAAATTTACAGCAATACTAACTTACTTTAAAACCTTCAAAATCCAAATCAAACAACACTTTAAAACCTTCCCATTAGTTAAAATTAAAGGCTTATATATAGTTCTTTAAATTTTCTTCATAAAAACCTTAAAATACACTCTTATACATGAAATTACAGCAAGTTCAAAGTCTAATAAAAATCTGAAAATTATATAAAAACCCCTAAAAATCTCCCTTTTTAATGGGTGATTAAACCCTCTTTATAAAACATTAAAAGTAGTACTTAGAAACTATTTCCAACACTTAAAACTTCAATAAAAACATATATTTATGTTTAATTAACTTTAAACATAATTAATTTTATTAATCAAACTCAAGGGTAATATTTTAAGTATAAAAAAACTTCGTTAAAATCAAAAACTGTCTGAATTAGAGGCTGAATTTGGCCACGAGAGGGTGGTGCTCACTACTAAAGGTAGTGAGTCTTTCTTAAAACGTTGTTTCCACATGGAAAACACTACTTTTTCATCAAAATCGGATGAGTTCAGAATCTGATCGGGATTAAAACGGGATTAATATTAACGAACGAAAATCTAAAAATTAAAACACGAATTTACATGTTCTAAATAATATGGAATTAAGTTAAACTAATCATTAGTTATAATCACCAAAATTTCAAAACATCATTACTATAAAAGCCCTAAATCAATTGTTC